CTTTCCCCAACTCACCATCCCTGACATTTCCTAAGTTCCGCTCAAGGCAATCAGTCAAAACATGAAAGCGGCTTAATTGGACACACAGCGGGCGCGTTAACTTACAACGTCTTATGATTCATGAACACTGGAATGTATTGCTACGAGCTTTCTATGCAGCATCTCTCGTAACCAGTTGCTGGAACAACAGTTGACGTGGGAGTTCTATCTGAGGAGGTTCAAATTCCCTTAACATTATGTCCCTCGTCCAATTGTCAGTTGGGGGATAAAGTGTTTAGACTCAGTCGGACCCCTCTGCTATGATATGAACGTAACTGTAAGAGTTAATGTAAGCTACGCAAACTCTTTTATTTGATGGGCAGCAACATTTTAAAAATATTGTTACCATTATTAAGCATAGGTATAATATATGCAATAATTATAACATTTAAGTATCTGGATTAACCCCCCCCCCCTCCCACCCCCATATCTAGAAGGAAAAAAAAAGAACTGAGGCTAGAATCATGAGGCATAATATGACATGTCGTAGTCATGCTTGACCTGTCAATTAGGGCCTCATGTGTACCGGTATACAAAAGTTCGACGTTCAATATTATGGTCTAGTGAAGAGTGAAGAGAATGGTTTTCTGAAACTGAAAGTTGGAAATTCTGATTCTGCTTGCGATGGCTGCTGCTACATGTCAGGTGCATGTATTTCATTTGAGGTAAAGTTGGCCAGTATGTTACTCCCATTCCAGGAAAAGAAAATGAGGGGGGGGGGGGCAATAAACTGCATCAAGTATGAACCAACCATGATATGGAAGCAAACTACGGACACCGTGCACATGGTCATCTCGTACTTACGCCACAATTACGCGTGACGAAACTATGACTTCGCTTATCTCTCCAACAGTTTTATGCTAGTAGTACATGTACTAGATCTTGTAGAGTTTAACTGGGGGTTCAGTATCAGTGCCAGCAGTCTTTATTCTAAATCACCAATTGAAGTACGTAATCGTTGGTCCGTGCCCTCTTGTACTGTCATGTCTCACGTGCTGGGACAATCCGCTCCGTAAAACATTCTCTCTCTCTCTCTCTCTCTCTCTCTCTCTCTCTC